ATCATATCAAAACACAACATTTATTGAATTAAAAATATTACATATAAAATAATTTAATTTATTATATAATTAATGTAATTAAAAATATATTAACATTATTAATTTATAAAATTAATTGTTTTATATAAAAATAGTTTATTTAAATTAATTTATTATTAATTTATAAAGGAGATTGGAGGCATGTGGGTGGCCCACGTGGCTTTCAAAGTGGATTGCAATTTTTGCAAGCCAAAGTCTACATGRCATTGTGTATTCTGACAAAAGGAGATATGCAATTCAATTTGAAAGCCCCATGTGGGTGCTCTAATATGCTGAATAATAGAATTTACTCATTATAGTTTCATAGTTTGAATTCCAGTAAATTACCATGTTTGAATATCTTATAGATTATAGACGGCTTTTGTTGATTTATTTTGATATAGCATCGATAATAAGTATTTTTGAGTGTTCGGATAAACAACCTATACGATATTAAAGGAGTTTTTAAAAAAGTTAAACTTTTTGACTTATAATAAGTTAGATAAATGTTTTTATAGAAAAACAGAAGTTGTTTCAAATAAGCAATCCCAAACACCCCTTATATATCATTATATTAGAATTAAATTTATAAAACTTCAAAAATCTCTAAATACAAAACTAAATACTTATATTGTCATGTTCAGTCCAAATAATTTTTTTTTTAAATTTCATGTCTCATTCGTGTTTTAAACATTGAAACTATATAAGACATATCATATTTTCATTTATTTTAAATATATATAATTTATATTTGTTCTCTTTTTATATGTATTTATTTTCATTTTCATTTCAATTTCAATTGTCCGATCTAAATCAAGTAGCCTTTAAGTCCCCGAACTATTTGAATGAAAAAACAATTCACACTACAAGAAAAATGATCTTCAGAGAAGGTAACTAATTTGTACTTAAAAAATGTAAAAAGTTTTTCTAAAAATATTTATTAGAGACGTTTTTCGAGCATTTGAGATGGTTTATAAGCATAACTAAAAGATACTTTTAGATAAGGTATTTAGAAAAGTTTCTCTAAAGATATATACTTTAGTGACACTCTTTAGAAAATCTTCTCTAAAACTATCTTTTTGTTACCCTTTTAATACTACAAAGCTCCATATTTCGGTACATTCAACATTTCTCGTACTGATTTTTTGTAATCTTTCGGATTCATAAATTGTCACCCCAAATTTCTATATTGTTGAAACCAGGGAATGTACGAAACCCACTATTCATCTTATTATTATTTTTGTTCACATTTTTAAGTAGGAAAATCTTTAGATATTTTACAACTTACCAAGCTCAAATTTGTTAGGGTTGATATCAGTAACCCCAAAATTCCTTTGAAGCCGCAACAATTCTTGCACCTTCAACGACCTAATCACAGATAAATCGTTAACATTACAAATGCCTATGTTAAAAGAGCTACAATCCAGCCTAATCCAAAAATATACATCACATACAAAACAGTTGACAGGAAATTAGCTGGTGTGATGTGAAAAGTATTAGGAATAACTTGTAACTCTTCCACATTCGTGGTTGTTTTCACAAGAAAAGAGATGATAGTGGCCACACATGTTACCTGTTCTGCTTTCTATGTGGACTTTGTTCTTTGATTATCAAATGATCTACTTACACTTCTCCATCTACATTGAGTCTTTATGTTGTTTTAAGTTAGCAATTTAAGCTATTTTACATACATGAAAAAAAACATTTTATGAATAGATAGAAATGCTTAAATATACAGTTAAAAGAGATATACAAAGTAACAAGTCCCAATCTACTTGCACTTTCGCATCATTTGCTTCTTTTGGGTGTATTCTTACCTTCAAATCTTCTAGTTGAAGCTTAGTGTGGGAGTACATAAAGGACTAAAGGAATCTGATCGAGCACAATTGTGAATTAGATAACTGATCAATATGCCTTAGGACACTGATATTTTCCTTTTAACATGTGTTCCTCATTTTTCAAGTTGGGTAATTGCTCTGTGTAATTGCTCTATGTGCGAAATGATAATATACTATACTACTAGAAAGAAGAAGAAGAAAACATTGTTAGTGTAATTACATCTGCAAATCGAGAAAGAAGTTTAACAGGATACAGTCCTTTAAGTGTTGGCTTAACCATGTTCACAAGAGCATCGATGTAATGAAGCTGAGGTGTCGTCCATCGCATCCGGCCTTGTCCTTGACCTATGTTGTGTAGTAGTAAACATATACAAGCTACCTTAAATAATTTATGTATTTTGCTATATTATTGTTGAGAATTACCTATCAAATGGTTTTCTTGCGGTAACTGGTTCCAACATGATGGCTCCAAAACCATAGACGTCACTCCTAATTGTGTACTGACCAGACATGGATACCTCTGGGGTACTGTATCCAGAACCAACATTAAGATCTCAAGTCATTTTCACTTTATCCAATCTGCATGTTGTTCCTAATGCAGTTTTCACACGGCTATTCCATATTAATGGTTTGTTGTATTCATTTTCTTGATGATCAGGCACAGACTGTAATGTAACCAGAGCCATCGAATCAAAAATAACTCAATCTTGTAACCAAAACAAACCTAATTTTACGGTATAAACATATAACAAGTCA